AATCTCCGACCTGTGGGGGCCCCGTTGCCGCCCTCTGGTTTTGTTGAGTTTCTTCCCCTTCTTCACGCCCCCCCCCCCTCCGCCTCAGACAGGGCTCATGTGAGGCTCTTGAGAGCTTACCCCCACACACACATCTGTCCAGCTGGAGAGCTTCCGGTCGAACCCAATGTTTCCAGAAGCTTCCACGTGAGAAGGTTGCGTCCCTTGAGGAAAAAACGACCGGGGGGGGGGGGGTTCTGGTCCAAAAAGGATCTTGGAGTAGGTTTGTCAGACAGGGCTCATGTGAGGCTCTTGAGAGCTTACCCCCACACACACATCTGTCCAGCTGGAGAGCTTCCGGTCGAACCCAATGTTTCCAGAAGCTTCCACGTGAGAAGGTTGCGTCCCTTGAGGGAAAAAACGACCTCCACTTCTCTTCCGTTTTTACTCGAAAAGTTTAATTTTACAAAATACAATATTTTTTTTCCCTTTCAAAAGAAAACATCCCTGCCAAATACAGGAACGAGGCGTTCTGTTTCATAGATTCTATACAGCTAAATCACCAGAGGTTTCCTACCGGCGGGAAATAAATGATTTGTCATCAGACACCTAAAAGCAAACCTTTCAAAACAATAAGGGATATGGGGGGGGGGGGTGAGAAGAAAAGAAAGCTTTAAAACATTATAAAGCGAGCCTTGAAATCGAATGGTTGGTTCTACCTGAAAGTTAAAAAAAAAGCTTCTTTCAAGTAGACCAAATGGTTTTTTTGTTTTTTTTTAACCTCACGACTGGTACAAAAACTGCTTGCGTTTAGCTTCGAATGCGGCACAACAACAAAAAAAAGCTTCATGAGAATTATTCTTTTCAAAATTATTCCATGTGCTGTTATCGTAAGGCAAACATGTATAAAGGTGCTAACTGCACACGGGGAGATTAAGAAAATGAGGAGGTTCCTGAAATGCTTCTTCACAGATTTGTTTCTTTAAAAAAAAAGGGGGGGGGGAATATCAACAGGAGTTCCTAAGTATGAACGATACGAAGTCAAAGCAATCTGCCCTCTTACTAGCTAGATACAAACCGTCCCTTTGCCACTCGCTTTGGTGAAAAATGAACAAGGTCCACCCTTGTTAGGTGGGCACTAGCTTTTCTGCTGCATTCGGGCGGCTTTGAATTTTGAAACCCTCTTCGTCGTTTCTTCTGAAGCTTCGTAGAGAATCTCCTCGGATTTCCGCTCCAAAATGGTGGGCAGGACCGGATGAGCAATGACTGGGTGTGGGATTATGGAGGGCGATAAAGGTTCCTTTTCGACAACCATCCCTGAGAAAGCCTGCAAGGAAAAGAAGACGTTCCTGGAATAATGTCATCAATGCTAACTTATTGATTTGGTTTTTTTTACCGTATTTTTCGTAGTATAAGACGAACCTTTTTCTCTTAAAAAAGAGGCTGAAAATCTGGGTGCTTCTTATACTCTGAATACAGCATTTTTGGCCTCCCAAAACCCCGCCCCCTTCACCAAAATGACCATGCATAGCCTTTAGAGCCGAGGCGGCACAGTGGTTAAATGCAGCACTGCAGGGTACTTCAGCTGACTGCAGTTCTGCAATTCGGCTGTTCAAATCTCACCAGCTCAAGGTTGACTCAGCCTTCCATCCTTCCGAGGTAGGTAAAAT